AAATCCATAAAGTATAAAATAAAATTGAGTCTTTGCCACAAACTCTGATTGTCTAATCTTTGCAACCCGATATCGTAGATCTTAGATTTTTAAAAGTTTGAGTTCTGTTGGGTCAAATAATCTGATTTTGAAATATCAGAAACTTGAGGTTGCAAAAGATAGGAATTAGAAAATTTTGTTTTGTGGCAAAGATTCAATTTCTTTGCAAGAATCTAAACATTTTTTTTGGCAGACTCCAGGTGAAAAGTAGAAAAAAGTTTGCAAGATAAAATTACACAAAACATGACTTTATACATTTTGAAGAAAGTAAGCATTGTACTTTAGCTATGTTCAAACAGACTAATAATAGTTCACAACAACTCAAATATTAAACGATTCACGAAACAATAGTTTATTTAAATGAAAACTGATATCAAACGATGATTTTGTAGATAGCAGGAAATTGAGCTACAAGAGTATCAAACAGAAACCACCAATCAACCACTCCTCCTAGTTCCGTAGATCTTCGTCAACTAACTCTTGTTTCTGTACAGGTTGACCTGCTCACCTGAATCCCTACTTTTGCCAAAATACCAGGTGAACTCCCCCCTTGGAAATCCCCGGATTCCTTCGGGCCACTCAACTCGGCTTGAATATTTGCAACAGAAAATAGGGATAAATATTTTATACCTCACTAGTCACCAAAAAAGATCATTATCATTCATATGCAACAGTATACCAGTCGGATCGCTTCACGTACGAGGGTGCTAGAGCGTCGGGAAACCCGCAGGGTGCAATTTAAACTACCAAATAAGTCTAATCAGAGATTTAATAAAGAAATATTTGAGCATACCTTATCATTTCTGTAAAATTACAAAAGAAGTGAATTTTGCATTTTAGAATTTAAAAAGTATTTTGGGGGTTTCAGTATTTACATCGCATATTCCTACTAAACTTTAAAATGTTCAGAAAAAGATGAAAATGTTTATTTGATAAATACCGATACTTTTAATGGTGAAATTGTTTCAAGGAAAGATTGTATCTGGAAGGTTGGAAATTCATTTAAAAGCTCTGAATCGCTTAGTGCGTTGGTTCACGTACAGATAAAGGACTGTTAGCTTAATTTCAAGTAACCCTCCAGGCAAAGATACCAATGCCCTATTCACATCGAATATGAATTAGATTTAAATGTTTAAAATCTTGAAAACTAGTTATTTCCAATTGCAGTTGCGGTTTCTGTAAAAAAATGACTTGCGCATTTCTAGTGCCAGAATTATCAGAATTTAACACTTTTAACCCCAAAAAAACACATTATAATTCAGATAAAGGATTCTACGGTACCGTTGTGAATCAGGCATTGTCATCTATGCATGGACAGTCACTTGAAATTACGCTTATATTCCCTTTAAATAGAAGATTTTATATTTGCTAGACTGCAGATACAGTTGGAATAAGATACTACTTATACATTAGTATTCTTTCAAGGTTTCAAAACATTTTTGTATTAACCCTATTCCAGCGGGGGGGGGGGGGATTGGACATAACTCAAAAATTGTTGGTCTGAGGGTGTTCAAATTTTTTTACTTATCTAACTAGTACATGCCACTCACATTAGGCTCAAAGCGGGGCTTTTATACCTACTGCCTGAATCTACATTTAGACCTACTTCCGGTCATTGGATTTTGACTTGATATAGCTCTTTAAAATGCCTTGCATGAACTGAAGGAAAGAGATTACACAAATTTAGCGGAGACATTTTTAATAGAGTTTTGCACAGATGGCTTTAAAGAGAATTTGCACATTTTCAGTTTTCTTTGAATATAAATTTAGTTTTTGAAAATATTGCCAATATTTTTGTATTTCAATTTGCCGTTGTAAACGCTTTTAAAAATGTATGATTTATCAAATTTCGCGCACTTTTTGTTTTTGCACATGTTTTGCTTAATAAAATTTTATCCGCCTCGTCATCAGTTAACTAAACATTATTATCCGCCGCGTCATCAGTTAACCATTATTATGCGCCCTGTCATCAGTTAACTAAACATTATTATCCGCCGTGTCATCAGTTAACTAAACATTACTATCCGCCGTATCATCAGTTAACTAAACATTACTATCCGCCGTGTCATCAGTTAACTAAACATTATTATCCGCCTTGTCATCAGTTAACTAAACATTATTATCCGCCTTGTCATCAGTTAACTAAACATTATCATCCGCCTTGTCATCAGTTAACTAAACATTATCATCCGCCGTGTCATCAGTTAACTAAACATTATTATCCGCCGTGTCATCAGTTAACTAAACATTATTATCCGCCGCGTCATCAGTTAACTAAACATTATTATCCCCCGTGTCATCAGTTAACTAAACATTATTATCCGCCATGTCATCAGTTAACTAAACATTATTATCCGCCGTGTCATCAGTTAACTAAAAATTATTTTCCGCCGCGTCATCAGTTAACTACACATTATTATCCGCCGCGTCATCAGTTAACTAAACAATATTATCCGATGCGTCATCAGTTAACTAAAAATTATTATCCGCCGTGTCATCAGTTAACTAAAATTATTATCCGCCGTGTCATCAGTTAACTAAACATTATTATCCGCCATGTCATCAGTTAACTAAACATTATTATCTGCCGCGTCATCAGTTAACTAAAGATTATAATCCACCGTGTCATCAGTTAACTAAACATTATTATCTGTCGTGTCATCAGTTAACTAAAAATTATTATCCGCCGTGTCATCAGTTAACTAAACATTATTATCTGCCGTGTCATCAGTTAACTAAACATTATTATCCGCCGTGTCGTCAGTTAAATAAACATTATTATCCGCAGTGTCATCAGTTAACTAAACATTATTGTCCGCCGTGTCATCAGTTAACTAAACATTATTATCCGCCGTGTCATCAGTTAACTAAACATTATTATTTGCCGTGTCATCAGTTAACTAAACATTATTATCCACCGTGTCATCAGTTAACTAAACATTATTATCTGCCGTGTCATCAGTTAACTAAACATTATTATCCGCCGCAAAAACTTTCGTTCGACATTGTACCTTTGCCCAGACCTAGTGACTGTGACGGCAGGCAATGACACTGTTGACAATATTGTATTCTACTAAGCCTGCCTGCCGTCTCATGAACTAAACGAAATTGGAAGGATAAGTTAGTTCCAAACTTAGAATTATGTAAATTTAACTCAATGAAAAAGTTTGAGGAGGACGTGAGCTTTACATCCCTTAACAATAAACACACACACACAGACAGATAGCTTAATCAAAGGAATTGATCAAATTTGAACCCTAAATTTGTGCAACCTGATATTTTAAACAAATGATTGTTCAAACTTAGACTTTATGATTTATTAAAATTCATAGTTTGAAATATATAAGGTCTGCAACACGCGATTGCAAAGATATAATGATTAGAAAATCAGAGTTTGAGCCAACAAGTCAATTTCTTTGACCCGTGACCCGTGTATGATGTAAAATCTCTAACATGCTTGAAAAAATGTTTGAAGTTTTAAACTCCCCATTGGGAAAAATGAAAGAGTGATAAACTATCAATTAATTATACTGAAAAAGCTTCCTATGAGTGTTTTAAACCAGGCTTCTTATAAATCATTAATTTTGCATCTTTTAGAAAAGCTAAATTTTGTGATCAAATATTACCTCAGAATATGAATACACAATACTGCAATCTGTTCCGTGCAAACAGTACAATCAAGTACATTGTGGTAAAGTCATAGAGAATAGAATATATATTAGAGTGGAATTTACTAGAAAAAAGTGTAAAACGGCCATTTTGTTGTACTGTTTCGATACTGCATGTGTACTTCAAATATTTGTGCTATATAACCTGTTGGGCCCTGGAACATCATTTTATAGAAAATCTAAAACTAATATTAAAAGAAAACCAAATTATGAAATAGGTTGGTTTCAAAATTTACCAATGATCATTTCACATAGACTCTATGCCTTTCACTTTACAAACGATGATTTTCCGTTATAGCTATAAATCAAATGATGGTATTTATTCATATAATTCATTTTATAAAGTTTATTTAAAAGCTCTAAAAAATTCGAAATTGAAATGGATAGTCTAGGGAAAATACTGTATTAATGTACTCTACTGCACATAATTTGTGAACATTTACATGATTTGTACACTTTGAACTCCCTTTCAGGCTAAAAGGGACTTACAAAATTCATACCGAGGGATTTTCCAAATTGCACTCTAATATATATTCTATTCTCTTTGGGTATAGTACAGTAAAACAAAGTAAAGTACAGTATACAACAAAGTATAGTACAGTACAACAAAGTATGGTACAGAACAAGATTTTGCTAAGTTGTCTTGCAGTGAGAAACATTATACAGAGGGGATAAAAGTCGTCTATGTTTATTTTTTATCAGGGATTAAGCTAAAGATTTAGTATTTTTTAGCTTTAGATAACTGATTTATCGCTAAAATATTCAGGAATATTTACAGAGAAATAACATTATCGTTTAAAGGAATTTAGTTTTTGCCACAAACTCTGATTTTCTAATTCCTATAACTTTGCAATGTGATGTTGTAGACCTTCTAAATTTCAAACTATGAATTCTATTATATTGAATAATCTAAGTGAAATATCATTATTATTCTACCAGATTGCAAAGATATTATATTTGAAGATTTCAGTTTGTGGCAAAAACTCAGCTTAATTAAATTAAATTACAATTGTGACTGCAGTTTTGGTGTGCTTTCTTAAAAATATATTTATAGTTCATTTAAAGGGAGTGTCTGGCTAGACATGGTACTTGATCTGAGAGTGCAGAATTGTAGAGAAATTTTTTAGAAACATTTGAGACTTATAAGAAGTTTGTACGGTGTATAACTGCTAAGAGCTCAAAATCAATTTTTAAAATCCTTTGGCGCTCGCCCTCAGGCAGGTACTCTACTACTGCACTCTTACCTCAGCTACCATAGTCTAGCCAGTCACTCCCTTTAAACATATTTCCTACCTTTGCCAAATCCTTGGTGACTTTTACATCCTCAACAAGAGTGTGGGAATGCGAGGTCTGTTCTTCAAGTAGTTGGTAGAATACATAGGCATTGTATTCACTCTCCTCACTATCCAGATCTATATTAATGTTTAGAAAATTAAATTCAAACTTAATTTTTTATTTTATAATAGTCATATACATACAGCATGATAAACAGAAAACTTTCAGACTCTTTTCAAGTGAACCTGGATTATTTTAAAATCTACAGAGATAATTTCTGTCCATTTCCATTCTTGTATCTGCTGCATAAATTTGTAATTTGTAATCAAAATTATTGATATCAAGATGGAAAAGCCTTTGCAAAGCAATTCCGTGCACGCAATTCCGCGTAATTCCGTGAATATTTAATTGCTTCCTTGTTCGTAATTATAGCACAATTCCGCGCAATGAAATAGCGCAAGCGGAGGCAATTCCGCTCAACAGAATTCCAATTGGAAACTCTATTTATAATACAGAAAAATTCGCTCAAAAAGGATTTAACTCGAAGATGTATTGTATATTTACAACTAATAAAACCTCCCTCACGTTTTTCTCTTAGTGAAAGGATTAGTTCTTTTATGATATAAGAATAAAGGGACTGTTCAACAATTATATAAGAATAAAGGGACTGTTCAACAATTATATAAGAATAAAGGGACTGTTCAACAATTACTCTGGTTTCACCGATTCTTCTAAACCAAAAAAATGTCAAAAAAGACATATTTTCCAGATTATTTGTTCTTCTTCTTACGTTTAAGAAAAATACAAAATAATAACTTTTTTTGGAATACTTGACACACTAAAAGGCAAAAATAATCTTTTCGGTAATTCTACCATTAAAAAAACTAATTCTAACTTTTATTTGAATTCTTAAAAAATTCAAGTAGAAAAATCACTGCTTTTATGACGTTTTTTTTAGGGCTTAGAGTCATCTAAAAAAGATTATATAAAAATAAACTCCGTAAACCTTGTATAGGCTATGCTGAAAGCTGAAAGAAAGAACTATATAGTTGACAAATACAGCATTATCCACTTACTGCAGAAAATCTATTTTTAAAAACAAGGCGTAAATGTGGAATGAGTTCTTCTAGAAAGCTTGACAGCTAAATGGATAGTCTTTCAGCCTTCTATACAGTTAGACAATTAGATAGTCTTTCAGTCTTCTAGACAGTTAGACAATTAGATAGTCTTTCAGCCTTCTATACAGTTAGACAATTAGATAGTCTTTCAGCCTTCTAGACAGTTAGACAATTAGATAGTCTTTCAGCCCTCTATACAGTTAGACAATTAGATAGTCTTTCAGCCCTCTATACAGTTAGACAATTAGATAGTCTTTCAGCCCTCTATACAGTTAGACAATTAGATAGTCTTTCAGCCTTCTAGACAGTTAGACAATTAGATAGTCTTTCAGCCTTCTAGACAGTTAGACAATTAGATAGTCTTTCAGCCCTCTAGACAGTTAGACAATTAGATAGTCTTTCAGCCTTCTAGCCAGTTAGACAATTAGATAGTTAGACAAATACACTAAACTAGGATTTTCGGGCTTTTTTAATGTTTTTTTTTAGCTAATAAATCTGCAAGCCTTTTGTAAATTTTAAAGTAACAACTAAAATTTCGATAATTTTTCTGTTTTAAAAACAAAATTTGAAGGCAAATCTTTCTAACATCACCAGGCCTTAAACTCTTCCATCGCGCACCTCTGCCCCTTTAGTAAAAGTAAATTCAACCTATATTAAGCATAAAGTCTGACCGCGTCAACCTTGTTGCACCGGCTAGTCCTGACCATAAAGCTTGGTACAGTACCAACTGGGACCGGAAAGGTTGACCCGGCACGGAAATTCAAATGTACTACGGCTGCCCGTGCCATGGGTCATGTGGTGAGTTGCCAAAAAGATTGAGCGTTATTTGAAACCATTATAGATAGTCATAAGAGTGAGAGAGAGAGAAAGAATGTACTGAGAAGAGACTACTTGAAGTGAATATATTAGTATTCTGTTCTGAGAATCTATTGTGCCTACAGTGGTAGACACTTTTTAAACATATCAGAGCTGGGAACTCTTGTGCAAATATTGAGATCAATTCTTGATCTAGATCTGCGGATTAATTTAATCTTCGATTAGATATCCCGTATGTTAATTGCACTCCGGAGGAATTTATCTAAAATTGAAATGAAAGTGTCAATAATTGATATCGAGATCAAGCTATCGGGATTAAGAGTATCCCACACAAAATTTTCCAGCTCAGCCTAGATATTAGATATATACGGGATAGTAGAGATATCTACGGGATAGTAGAGATATATACGGGATAGTAGAGATATCTACGGGATAGTAGAGATATATACGGGATAGTAGAGATATATACGGGATAGTAGAGAGAGATATCTACGGGATAGTTGAGATATATACGGGATAGTAGAGATATATACGGGATAGTACGGGATAGTAGAGATATCTACGGGATAGTAGAGATATCTACGAGATAGTAGAGACATCTATTTATATATTTGGCTTGTCTGTCTGTCTATAGGTACGTTTTATTGTTTGTAATTATCCAATAATCAACGAAACAACTGAAATAACTGAAGCGAAATAAGAACGACTTTGTGAAATAGTAGTTTTAATTCTTTACACAAGTATTAGAAAATATAGATCAATTCATTTGGTTGAAATATAAATATAATAGAATATAATAATTCTATTTATATTCTTCTGAAAAATTCTTAAACATGATTAAACTAAATTTTGATTTTAGGTGAAATTACGTTAATTTAGCTTAAACTATTAAAAATGTTAAAAAGAATTATACTTTTAATTTTTTCCCTTTATGTTAAGTTTTCTAGCTGCAAGTAAATAAAAGTTATTTTCTAGAATTTTCTGGAATATTTCTTAACTCCCTGGTTTTCTAGGAAAGTAAATAGAAAATATTTTCTAGAATTTTCTAAAATATTCCTAAACTCCTGGTTTTCTAGGAAAATTTTCTAGAATATTCCTAAACTTCTGGTTTTCTAGGTAAGTAAATAGAAGATATTTTCTAGAATTTTTTAGAATATTCCTAAACTCCTGGTTTTCTAGGAAAATTTTCTAGAATATTCCTAAACTTCTGGTTTTCTAGGTAAGTAAATAGAAGATATTTTCTCGAATTTTTTAGAATATTCCCAAACAACTGGTTTTCTAGGTGAGTAAACAGAAGATATTTTCTAGAATTTTCTAGAATATTACTAAACAACTGGTTTTCTAGGTGAGTAAACAGAAGATATTTTCTAGAATTTTCTAGAATATTCCTTAACTCCTGGTTTTCTAGGAAAATTCTCTAGAATATTCCTAAACTTCTGGTTTTCTAGGTAAGTAAACAGAAGATACTTTCTAGAATTTTCTAGAATATTCCTAAACAACTGGTTTTCTAGGTGAGTAAACAGAAGATATTTTCTAGAATTTTCTAGAATATTCCCAAACAACTGGTTTATAGTTTATTTGAAAGCATTGAAATGTTTATATATTCAACAAAAATACAATCTTTTGCAAATTGTGAAATGTTATGAAAGCTAATGCAAGAAACCAAGTTTTCTGTTTATCCCACTATAAACATTTAAAAACAATTTTACACTTTACAATTCTGGATTTATTATAAAAATAGACAATAGATATTTGAAATATATATTTTTCTCCAATTCTTTCTGAGAAAGGAATTGAATCTTTATAACAAAATCAAATATTTAAACCTCAATATCTTTAGAACCCGATGTTGTAAACCTTTGATATTTCAAACTCTCATTATTTGATTTAACAGAATTCATAGTTTGAAATATCTAAGGTCTACAACATTTGGTTCCAAAGATATAGTGATTAGAAAATCTGAGTTTGTTGCAAAGACTCAATTCCTTTGTACAGTACACAATGCACAACACCACACCAAATCCAAAACTTTTGGAAACATAACAAATGTTGAGATTCACATCAAACAAAAATAAATGAATTGAGTATTTGTCACAAACTCAAATTTCCTAATCTAATATCTTTCCAGTCTGATGGTCATAAAAAATCCCCTAAACTATTGGCCCGCCCCTTAACTTTTCAACAGAAATAGGGACTATCTATATCATAAAGTTTTTCGCTTGTAAATAAATGTTAGCTTTGGCTTACCAAACGGTTTGACCGAATGGGCAGACATTTTTTTGAGGCAACCCTTAAGGGGGTAACATAAGCCAAAAAAAACATTTTTCTCCAAAAATCGAGAAAAAAAAAATTTAAACGTCTAATTTTTTTCTTTCAAAGTACGGTTTTAAAAATTTCATGGGCAACACCAGGCACTTCTGCTAGTATGTAATATAAGAATAATTACTAACCTATCCCAAGTCTCTCAACAGCATGAAGTATTAGAGAAATTGACTGAATACTGTTTGCGTAAACAATTGGTTTAAACATTAACCGTTCCTCAAGGCTGAAATCACTCTACAACAAAACAATCATAACCAGGTTGAAATCTTATTTAACACTGTTTTTTTTTTTTGTAAAATACGTCAAACTTAAATTTTTCTGCTTAAACTAAACATGAGATTTTAACGATATGTTTTCTTAAACAAAGCTTGATTTTTTACAATACTTTCCCTTTATAGTAAACTTGAGCTTTTAACAATACTTTCCCTTTGAACTAAACTTAAGCTTTTAATCTAATTTTGAGTCTTTAACAAGACTTTCCCTTTAAACCAAACTTGAGTTTTTAACATTACTTTCCTTTTAAACTAAACTTGGGTTTTTTTATAAGACTTTCCCTTTAAACTAAAGTTAAATTTTTAAAAATAGTTTCCATTTCAATAAACATGATATTTTTGTGAATGATTAATAAAATGTTTATTTAGCGGATATTTAGTCTTTTTTCTTCCTGTTTTCTGAAAATGGCTGTATGTAAAGTAAAATACATTCATTTTGTGTCGACTAGATCCTTAGTTTAATGGTTCTTAAACTTAAGAGGATAGAATTACAAAAATTGTAAATTTTTAAGCTTTTTTCTCATTCTGCACGTTTAACCTTTTAGTCTCATCTCATCTTGCACTTTTTACCTCCGTTAAAATCATCTTATAAACTTCGTTTACTTAGTTTCAATCTTAAGAACATTAATTTACAATCATTTAATACTTTAATACTTAAACAAAACTGCCCTGTACTTTACCGTACTGTAATGTACTGTACTTTAATGTTTTGCACAATAATGTACCTTACTGTACTGCACCGTACTATACTGCACCGCACTATACTGTACTGTACTGTACTGTACTGTACTGTACTGTACTGTACTGTACTGTACTGTACTGTACTGTACTGTACTGTACTGTACTGTACAGAACTACACTACACTAAACTGCATTGCACTGCTCTGAATGCACTTCACTAAACTTCACTGCACTGTAAAGCAATGCACTGCATTGCATTGAAAACTACCAATTTGCACTGAACTGAACTGTACTGTACTGTATTGTTTTGTACTTTATTGCCTATACTGTACTGCTCTGTACTGCACGGCAATAAATTAAAGCTTCTCAGTGATGTATAGTTGTGTAAACACTATGCAGTATACTATGTATAGACTATATAAAATCTTCATTAAGGAATACTTTTACTAAGAAAATTGCAGCCGAGAATTTATATTAATTAAACTTCAGCACAACAGGAAATAATTAAATTTACAGCAAACAGAAAAAGTTTAGAAAGAGAAAGTTAAAAAAAAATTAAAAATTTAAGCTAAGAAAAAGGTAAAATAAAACATACAATAAAAACAATAAAAAGACCATGACGGTTTTCTCTTTTCCGTAAAAAATCGAATTTTTTAAAGTTGTTTACTTTCTTAAATTAATACATTTTATGTATTTAATTTTTTCCTAATTTATCAAATCTTTTTTCTAAATCTTTTTTAATCTGGAAGAAAATATGAAATAATTTAGACAAATAAATAAGAGATTAGACGAAATCAAATAATAAATATGGACATGTAAGGTTAAGATTGTTCCTTGTGAATAATTCTCATGTGTTTGAGAAATGTTGATTTTCCTGATTCCGGTGCTCCCATCAGTAGTATATCTATCTCATCTAGATACAAGTATATATTAGTCCAATCAGTAGTATATCTATCTCATCTAGATACAAGTATATATATATATTAGTACCATCAGTAGTATATCTATCTCATCTAGATACAAGTGTATATTAGTCCTATAAGTAGTATATCTATCTCATCTAGATACAAGTATAAATATATTAGTTTCATCAGTAGTATATCTATCCCATCTGGATACAAGTATATATTAGTCCCATCAGTAGTATATCTATCTCATCTAGATACAAGTATATATTAGTCCCATCAGTAGTATATCTATCTCATCTAGATACAAGTATATATTAGTCCCATCAGTAGTATATCTATCTCATCTAGAGAATACAAGTATATATTAGTCCCATCAGTAGTATATCTATCTCATCTAGATACAAGTATATATTAGTCCCATCAGTAGTATATCTATCTCATCTAGAGACAAGTATATATATATTAGTCCCAACAGAAGTATATCTATCTCATCTAAATACAAGTATGTATTAGTCCCATCAGTAGTATATCTATCTCATCTAGATACAAGCATATATTAGTCCCATCAGTAGTATATCTATCTCATCTAGAGACAAGTATATATTAGTCCCATCAGTAGTATATCTATCTCATCTAGATACAAGTATACAGTAGTCCCATCAGTAGTATATCTATCTCATTTAAATACAAGTATAAATATATTAGTCCCATTAGTAGTATATCTATCTCATCTAGATACAAGTGTATTAGTCCCATCAGTAGTATATCTATCTCATCTAGATAAAAGTATATATTAGTCCCATCAGTAGTATATCTATCTCATCTAGATACAAGTATATATTTTTACTAATGGAACTGTAGCATTATATTATATTTTTACTAATGGAACTGTAGCATTATATTATATTTTTATTAAAGAAACTGTAGAATTATGTTTTTTCTAAAGGAACTGTAGAATTATATTTTTGTTAAAGAAACTGTAGAATAATGTTTTTACTAACGGAACTGTAGAATTATATTTTTGTTAACGAAACTGTAGAATTATATTTTCATTAAAGGAACTGTGGAATTATATTTTTGTTAAAGAAACTGTAGAATTATGTTTTTTCTAAAGGAACTGTAGAATTATATTTTTGTTAAAGAAACTGTAGAATAATATTTTTACTAACGGAACTGTAGAATTATATTTTTATTAAAGAAACTGTAGAATTATATTTTTACTAACGGAACTGTAGAATTATATTTTTACTAACGGAACTGTAGAATTATATTTTTACTAAAGGAACTGTAGAATTATATTTTTACTAACGGAACTGTAGAAAAGACGTAATATCAGGTAACAAAGTGTAAATGAATGGTAACCTTAATACCTTTGTCCGATTCAGAATAAATTAGATAATTTAAGAATTGTGTTTCGCGACCAACCCTGGCCGCTAATAGACAATAAAAACTCTAGGGTAAACCCTTAGATATCGAACCTAGTCATTTTGTAGCTCCGGTTGATTGGAACGTCCTATAACTTCATGACTCCTATGACCTCTCTACAAATCTCAGTCTCAGAATAATCAGTGCTCTAGTTACAGGATACACGGTTCAATCTAAAGATTGACCGAATTAGAACTTTATTAAATCATACAAAC